TTCGGCAGCCAGCTGCTTAGTTCTGGGAAGAAAGGTTAAAGTTCAAGGCTAGGCTAGGTGGAACTGCTGAGGGATACACTTCAGACTTAAAATGACACCCCAAAAGGGGCACATTCTAGAAGACAAATCTAAAATATTGAATAGAACAGCACTAACAAAGTATAAAACCAACTATCAGTAGGATTTAAATATCTTCTTGTTCATTATATCTGGCTGCCAGAAGAGTACTGAATGTAGTCCCTGCCCTTACGGACCCTAAAAACTAGTCAAAGACAAGCAAGTAAATTAGTAGTTACAGAACTAGTACGAAGAAAGTACAGTAATGGATGTTTGCTCAGAAACATTTAAGTACAGGATATAGATTTGGAAGTCATTATCATACAAGTATAAGGTAAAGGCACAAATATGAATTTGGTCACCAGGGGAGGATACAGAATGAGAAGAATCTAAATATAATATGAACCTCCATATTTCTGCCATTATTGGGGAAGGTCTGAGAAAAACTTCCTTATATCTGGAATAGTTTCAGTAAGATGTACTAGCAAAATTATCCTGGTTTCATGTACTGCCAATAAAAGATAAAAGAATTTAGATATATACAATGGCCCACTGTCAGGAAAACAGCATTTTTTTTAAAAAATCCAAAAGAAAAGTGCCAGGAGCTAAAGCATTTCCTGAGAACGTGAACTACAGCAAGTATTTTTCAATCCGAGTGTTTTAATAGAAGCTCTCTTCCCAGTGGAGTCATCACTCAGCTGAGAAGTATTGCCAGCATCAGGAGTTATTACTGAGACAGACTGAGGAAGTTCAAGGATGGACTTCTGTGAATTCAGCCTCTCATACGGCCTTGTTTCAGCAAACAAGGTCTGTACCACAAATAAAATGGTAACAAATGGAATGAACCTTTACTGTTTTACAAACAAAATATAAAACTGTCTCCTTATTTAGCAAGATATTAAAAGGAAAAGCATATTACCTAAATTAAATAGCATTTGATTCCATGGTCTCTTGCTTAAAGAGGGAAGAAAATGAAAGCTGAATCCCTAAAAACAATCTGACATTTTTAACATATCCTAAAATACAAATTAATTCAAGTGAAGAAACTGTCTAAAGTTCTGTCACATTCTCTATACAATACCTCAGACTGTATCATTTCAAAATGTCCAGAAAAATGTGGCATACTATGTAAGTTCCTTAAGGACACGAACGGCAATTAGGTCCTTTTATATCCTCTACAGTGCCTCGCACTGAGAGTACAATGAATAAACAGAACGTCTACCCCACAAAAATAATTCAAAGACTATTACAATATGCTTATATTGTATGTCTATATATTTATATATTGTGTCTATATATCTATACAAGCAAAACTTAATTGACCTCTCTCTCCACCCAAAACATACTTCTGTCTCCAAATGCCCTAATCCAAATAATCCTTTGCAGTGCAACTTAACTGTCTAAGCCTTCTTCAGCGCCCTCCAATGAAAGTCACCTTGCTCTGTAACAAATTCCTAACTGTACACAGCATATTCAACCACATTTTCTGGTTACTTTGCTTTCTTCATTGGCAATGTCACTCATTCAGACATCAATAATGGTTACTAAATGACTGTCAAACAAATTAAAATCATCAGATTTGTGGAACCACAAAAGACCCCAAATAGCCAAAGCAATCCTGAGAAAAAAGAACAAAGCCAGCGGTATCACAGTACCTGACTTTAAATTATACTACAGAGCTACAATAATCAAAATAGCACACTATTGGCAGAAAAACAGAGACACAGACAAGGAACGGAATTGAGAGCCCAGAAATAAAACCACATGTATATGGGCAAATAATTTTTGACAAAGGATCCAAAAAACACACAATGAAGGAAAGAAAACCTCTTCAATAAATGGTGGTAGGAAAATTGGAAAGCCACATGCAAAAGTATGAAAATAGATTACAGTTTGTCCCATGTACAAAAAATTAATTCAAAATGGATCAAAGACCTAAATATAAGATCTGAAACAATAAATTACATAGAAGAAAACACAGGTACTAAACTTATAGATCTCAGTCTTAGAGAACATTTTATGAATTTGACTCCAAAGGCAAGGAAGGTAAAGGCAAAAAGAAATGAATGGGGTTATATTAAACTAAAAAGCTTCTACACAGGAAAAACACTGCCAACAAAACAAATGGGAGATGATATTTGCAAACAACATCTCCACAGAGGGGTTACTATCCAAAATATACAAAAAACTCACACAACTCAACACCAAACAAATAATTCAGTTAAAAAATGGGCAGTTCCCCTGGCTGGTATAACTCAGTGGATTGAGTATCGGCTACAAACCAAAGGGTAGCCAGCCAGTTCGATTCCCAGTCAGGGCACATGCCTGAGTTGCAGGCCAGGTCCCTAGTATAGGGTTCATGAGAGGCAACCACATTGACATTTCTCTCCTCTCTTTCTTTTTCTCTTCCCCTCTCTCTGAAAATGAATAAATAAAATCTTTAAAAAATCAGGCAAATAACCTGAACAAACACCTACAAATGACCAACAGATACATGCAAAGATGTTCGGCTTCACTAGTTATTAGGAAAATGAAAATTAAAACTATGATGACATACCACCTCACACCTGTTAGAATGGCTATTATCAACAAGACAGGTAATAATAAGGATTGGAGAGGTTGTGGAGAAAAGAAACCCTCATTCACTGCTGGTAGGAATGTAAATTGGTACAGTCACTATGGAAAACTATATAGAGGTTTCTCAAAAAATTAATAATGGAGTTACCATATGACCCAGCAATCCCTCTTCTAGGTTATCTACATGAAAAACTCAAAAACATTTATTCACAGAGATATATGAACCCCCATGTTCATTGCAGCATTAGTCACAGTGGCCAACACATGGAGACAACCAAAGTGTCCTTTGATGGAGGACTGGATAAAGAAGATGTGGTACATACATACAATGGAGCATTACTCAGCCATAAGAAAAGATGAAATACCACCATTTGCAACAACATGAATGGACCTTGAGAATATTATGCTAAGCAAAATAAGTCAGAGAGAGCTAAGAACCATATGATTTCACTCATATGTGGGATATAAAACCAAAACCCATAGACACAGACAACAGTATGGTGGTTACCACAGGGAATGGAGTGGGACGTATTAAAGGGTAAAGGGGGCCAGATACATGGTGACAGAAGATGATTTGACTTTGGGTGGTGGGCGCACAATGCAATACACAGATCATGTACCACAAGAAACTACACTTGAAACCTACGTGATCTTGTTAACCAATGTCACCCCAGCAGTATACAAAAAGGCCACATCGTGACTGTGGGGTTTAATACAAAATAAAAGGTCGATATAAAACCATTTTTAAATCAATCAATGTAATCCACTATAGTAAGAGAATATAGGAGAAAAATCATATCATTATCTTAACCCATGTGCAGAGATAAACATTTAATGAAATTTCACACCTATTCATGATAAAAACACTCAGCACACTAGAAACAGAAGAAAATTTCAACCCAATAAAGGGAATTTTCCTATTAGGCAAAAGTAGAAGAATCCAAATCCAAATATCCATCAACTGATGGATAAATAAAATATAATCTATGCAATGTAATACCCCTTAGCAATGAAAAGTTAGAGTGTATGGATACATGCCACAACATAGATGAACCTACAAAACATTATGCTAAGTGAAAGACATCAGTCACAAGACCACATATTGTATGATTCCATTTACATAAAATGTCAGAATAGGCAAACTTATTAAACAAAGTAAATTAGTGGTTTTCTACAGCTGGGTCATTAAGGAAAAATGTGAAGTAACTGCTAGTGAGTGTGAGGTTTCTTTTGGAGGTGATAAAAATATTTCAATATTGACTGGAGTGATGGTTGTACAACTCTGTGACTGCACTAAAAACCACTGAATCATACACTTTAAATGGAAGAACTGGATGTTATTTAAAATACATTTCAGTAAAGCTGTTACAAAGAAATACATACGGCCCAATTTAAGGACTGGAAGAGGAAGGCACACGTGAAGGATACTTGTATTATGTGAATTACCACCACATATCACCTCCGCTGCAGAGACTAATGAAATAGAAGTGAGGTGACTTGGTTCTAAGACATAAATTTATAAAACATATACTGTATCCTTTTAAGAATCCTTTTAAGAAGCCAAAAATATCTAGGCTGAGATAGAGGTAGCTATAAAAATTCTCTAGGCCTGAACAATAATCTTATTTGAAAATTAATTGTCTAGCTGTAAACAGGGGACAATATCTAATAATGGTAAGAATAACAATAATCAGAATTAGCCTCATGATACAGCTGCAACCAGAATTCATAAGATGTGTCAGACACTGTAACAGAATGACATACATCATCTCCAATCCTCTCAACAATCACATAATGAAGACGAGAAAATCGGGATTCAGAGACATTAAAGTGACTTACCTATTCAGGAATCAGAGAGCAAAGCTAGGTATGAACTTAAAACAACCTGTCTCTAAAAGATGTGATCTTATATCATACTACCTCCAATCTTCAAGAAGGTATAAAGCTTCAAACCAGACAAAAATAATAGAAGAGATTGACCACAAATGTCCTAATATGAAATTTCAAAATTTTAAAGCTTAAAGGAACCTCGGAGAACATCTACACAACCACCTCATTTTACAAATGAGACAACACTGTCTGCAGTCTCTGATGAGTCTTGGCTATTTTTATTTCTCTACCGTCAGGCCTCCAATAGACTTTTGGGCTATCTGCAAGACTTTCCCCACAGAACCAGCATAAATCAAATGAGGAATCACAGGAGAGCTAAGTGTCAGAAAGTCATGGATGTGCTAAATATACTCCCTAAAATTCATGTTTTTAGACTGTGATAACAATAAATAAATGTTCCTGTTACTTGCCTGGTATACAGAATTCTGGTTTCACAGAATTTGTAATACTGATTTGTTGCTGCTTTGAACTCTTACCTTTGTGCCCACAAGAAACATGGTGTAAAGGAACACAAGATTATGCTTTGGTATTGCCAGATGTTCAGTGTGCTGAAATGTGAAGATAATTGACCCCAGCAGGGTTACTTTGGCAGGGCTGAAAATAAAAAACACAGTCAGTAAGTATTAAACATGATCTATGTCTATATTCCTCAAAGTACTCTACAAAGTACTAATTTAATGAGTTATTAATAGATGTAACACAAAAATGAGTTCTGTGACTATACTTACAAAGTTATGGAAATACTAAGCTATATAAAATTAAATACCTTTCTTGACAGCATAACGTATCCGATTTTAGAATGTTCATATACCCTGTGACTCTCTGATAAAGTACATTTTTAGATGCAATATGTCTGAAACATAGTTGATCGCATAACACTTTTTCACAAAGGATCTGAAAGTCCCATGTTCCATAGTGTAATTTGGGGGAAAGTAGATTAGTCCTGAAAAACACTGCAATGCTAAGCAGGCTCCTTGGGTGGGATGGGGAAGGAAAAGAAAGCTCTGATTAGTATTTTCTCATTTCCATTGTGTAAATACTCCCATCACAGCCAACTTCAGGCTGCTGTGTAAAATAGGGAGAAGTTAGACACATAAAACAGTATAAGCTAACTCCAGCACACAAACTAACTCCTGCACAGAATACATGCATTAGGTCCTACCTTAGTAAATCAATGCTGAACATTTAAAGTCTATAAGATGTTAATCTGTAAGTATGAAGCACTACTTTCATGTCATATATTTGCCATGTACTTAAAGCATCTCTCAGTAACAGATCACTATCTAGCTCTTCATGATTACAACTGTAAAAAGACAAACTCTTAGAATGCCACATTGCAAAATATGACATTTAAAATGCCCTACGAGCATTTTATGGAAAAATAAATTATTAATTTAATTATTACAAGCTAAGAATTAAGTTCAAAACAGGGTCAGGTTTTGGCAACAGGAGTTTGGACTTTGCTTAACAGTGATCAAGAAGCAATCCTGTTTTGGAAAAGTGATCTAAACTTTTGGCTGTGTATCTCTATTGATAAAAAAAGTATTTCAGACACTCCCTAACATATGTTTATCAATTATTTGTAAATTATATACATGGACAACTGTATTATAAAGTGTACACAAAATTGATATTTTAACAGGGTAAGATAAAAATCAAATGAAATTAGGTTTGTCTTAGTATCATTCTGCTACTCTGTGTTTCTAACAGTTTTGTTTCTGTGCCATAATGCCTCTTCACAGGCACCCTCTTAGCAAACACACATTCCATTCTGGATTGTGTTCTCTTAGAGCATAAATCTAGAGACAATGAATAAGATAAACAAGGACTGCAGATAATAAATTGGGCCAGGGAATTGGAAAAGGGCCAGGATTTAGGAAAAAGTCAGTGGCATTGGTTAGGAAGATCAGGAAGCATTTAGAAAATTCTTACAGCAGTCCCAGTGAAACTAGTAAATAAACTATCTAGTTCCAAAATACACTGGTAGAATAGGCAGAGGATAATAGTTATAGGCATTCCCATCCCAAAAGGGTAAAAACAGAAGAAAAAGTGGTCACTGGTACTACACAATTTCAAAATCCAGCAGGGCAGATTCCATTCGGTTTTGAGGTCCGGGAATAATCCTCTGTGGCTTCAGGCTGTGTCCTCTGAGTCTGCAGTTCCCACCTCTGCACTCCTGGCTCTGGCCTTTGCACCTCTGACTCCAGCCTGTGTGCCTGGCCTCAGGCCTCTAGGCCCATCGCTCTCACCTTAAAGTCATTCTTCCTTTTCCTTGAAGGGTAGCACATGTTTGCAGCTGTGCAGTTTTATCAGCCTGTTTCCTGCCTGTAGAATTTTGAGAGTCTGACAGCATTTTTTTATTTCATCTTATCTCTGCCTCTTTCAGTCCAAGCTGGTAATGTTTCTAGTGGTATAATATTTTCAAAGACCTTGTGGGTCTCCAGTGTATGACACAAGGATCCATGCCATTAGTCAAAAAGGTTCTTCACAGATCTCTTCTGGATAATCCCTTCTCTAGTCCTGGTCTCTGCTGTCACAGCTGAATGGGTCCACGTGTCACATGCCTAATGTCTTTAAACACTAGCAAAAACTGTCCAGCAACACCCCTGACTTTCTTTCCACACCAGGCTTTCCTAAGAATAAGTCTCCTAATTTTAATCTAGATTGGCTCAGAACTTCCTAAATTATCAAGTTTTGGTTTCCTTACTTAGCAGTTATTCCTTCAACTCAAACCTTTCCTCTCACACTTTATTATAAGCAGCGAGGAAAAACCAGTGCACACCTTCAACATTTTGCTTCTAAATTTCTTCAGCTAAATATCCAGCTCACTGATTACAAGTTATGCTTTCCACAGTTTAGCTAAGTTTTCTGCCATTACGTAACTGAATCATCTCTCCAGTTCCTAATATCATGTTCCCCGTTTCCTTCTAAGCCCTCACCAACACCTAACATTCATATTTCTACCAACATTCTGTTCATGAAAATATATGTATTCTATAAAACCAAAAAGGCTTTCTCCGCTGTGCAAAAGTATTGGAAAATAGATATGAAAACTTAAATATATACACACATACACAAAATATCATACCAGACAAAAATCATAATTGCCTGACAACCTGTCAATCATTCATTCATCTAATATTGATTGAGGGTCTACTATGTGGTAGGTGCTTGGGATACAAAAGCAATCAAAAAAGACAAAAATCCCTGTACTTGGCCTCTTGTATTCTTTGAAGTATGGGGGAAGCCAAAAGGAGAGAATAAACACAACGACTAAGTAAATTATACAATATGATAAACACTATACAAAAGAAAGAATAACAGAAAGAAACGTTCCAATTCTAAGCAGGATAGTCCTCACTGAGAAGGTGAGTTTGAGAAAATACTTTGAGCAAAGCAGAAAGGGAGGTAGCTACCTGAGAAAAAAGATTCTAGGCAAAGAGAAAAGCTAGCATTAAACCAAACCACACCCGGCTTTTTCAAGAACAGAGTGCAGTGAACCAGGTATTAAGAGGTGAAGTCAAAGCAGATTGGGTGTAAGGGAGAGCCATCTTGGAGGGTCGTCACTGCAAGGGTTTGAACAGAGGAGAAATGCACTTTGACTTTGGTTTTAAAGTCCCAAGAAATGGCTTATAAAAGATGTTTTCAAGGAGAAAAAATTTCCCTTAATTACATTAATGCCTTATTTATAACTCAGTATCAGCCAAAGCCTTCTTTGTTCTATTTCTAAACTACCTCATTCAGGCTTTAAGAGCGCTTTCCAAGTTAAATATCTTGGAATTTGTTGATTCTCAAACATATACTTCACCATCCATACTGCTTCTCAACCTTCCTTTTTAATCCATTCTAACAAGCTTATTTTCACGTGAAGTCTTTCCTTGCCTTACTTACTACAGCTACTATTTCCTAAATCTTTTTCTTCTGGAATTGTGGAAATAGTAGCTGTACTTCTCTGTTTCATTTTCAGGTACACCAGGGATACATTTGTGCCTTACTGAATACTGGGCCAGTGTCTTTATAGAATATCTAACAGATTTCCTTAAGTGTACACAAAAGATTTCCTTGAGTGGACACAAAAGGTAGTTTGCACTGAACAAGTATGGAGTGGGTTATTTCCTCTAATCTTTTTCATATTGTTATATACAATAAGTTTAACTTTCACTTTTAAAGCAACTAATAAGGGCTTTACAACAATGTACTGATTTGTTCTTATAAGCCTGACATTTTACTAAAAGAACTATGTAAATTTGAAATCTGGGTGGTTTCATTAATGAAAATGCCCAGAGACTACAAGTGGGATTCCTTTCCATCCAGAGAAGTCTGTGCCTATGGAGTTCCCTCTCCACAAATTCATACTCTCCCCACAATTCTCGAACAATCTACATGTTTTTGTTTGATTTCATTTCCTAAGGGGAAGAACCCAAAGATAAATCAATATATATTTTTAAAATGACATTTGAGAGATCAGACTTTTTGAAAGAATAAAGTTTCCTGGGTTTTCCCCCATCATTGTTACCATTTTTTTAAACCTATATTTCATCCATACTTAGAATCCACACAATGTCTTTTTAAAAAATTTGGTGAAATCTAAGGACAAAAAGCTGGGTCTTAGTATAGCTGATACCAACTCACTAGGACATCTTCAGCCACTCATCAGCTTGTGGTCGCCAACCTCCTTTTACCAACTGCTCAAAATTCGTGATTATGCTACCACCTGCCCCTAAAAATAGGAAAATAAAACAAGAATAATTAGCCAAATTTTCTAGAGAAAATATTTGAAACAAAGTCATAATATTACCTCCTGACTTACAATCCCAAGAGGATCCCCAAAATATAATTGTGCAAAAATATAATTTGGGGAAGAAGAAGAAGTTGCCTTGTACATCTGTGATACTAACACCATTGCGGCCCTTCCCCTTCACCATCATGGCAGCTGTCTATTACACCGTACTTAAGGTTAGAGCTGGGTCCTCAGGCACAGAGATGCAGCTAGAGGTTTGTTGCAAACCTGACAAATAAAATTCTGTGCTTTATCATTTCTTTCCCTGATATTAGTTATGGTTAAACACAGTAAAACAAGAGACTGGAGAAATCTGTTCAATTCCTACATACTAACTCAACAATAAAGGTAAGTAATGCAAAGTAGACATGAACCTATATTCAATCATATTTACCATCTTCAGTTATTCAGAATTAAAAAGCAGAGCAATTTTTTACATGCACCATATAATTTCTGTAAACCTATTTATGATGGTACTATACTTTAATTAATTATGACTCCATCTGGTTCTGAGGTTGATAGTAAAACCAATCATTAAAATTTTATATTGTAAAACAGTTGGGATCAAAATAATGGCTAATGGCTGATACCTGTAAAAAGTGCTGGTTTTGAATTAACTTTACTAGCTAGCAGAAACAAAGCTTCCATCCTCCAAAAAGACTGTTGTAAGAGCATGTGGTCCCCATTAATGTAACTAGAGAACTGTTCAGTAGTTGTAGCACACCAATAACAGTATTTATGAACATGCACTGTTAACATTACCTCGGGCCCATCCAATAGCTATCATGACTATCCAGCCATTTTTGTAATAGCTATTAGCATGTGTGACTCCACCTACTATTTTCCAAGTTCTGGTCACTTCCTTCATTCCTGCAGCCAAGAGTTGAACAGGTAGGAAAGAATAGCCCTGGGAAACTAGGTCATATGGGCAAAAAAAAATAATATACCTGAAATTAAAATTTAAATATTTTAATATATAAATAGAATCAAAACAAATAAAAATATAGCATATCAGCAATAACAATTTGGCAAAATTCAACAAACATAAATATAAACTGCATATGAGCATAGAATTTGATTTCAAGAACACCACAAATTGGGTAGAGTCAGTTTTTTAGAAAATAACATGAAGTATATATAATAGTCTGCCAAAAAGTCATGATCATAGGAGAATTTCATCCTGTTTCCACTACTGAATACTCTATTTACGCAAAAAGTATTTACTGAGTTCCTACTTTGTGCCTATACTCTTCTAGAAGCTAAGTGTTGAGTCCACTAAAAAAATAGAGCAAAAATATAATCACTTCTCTAGATACAGTGCCTTTTTTCTCCTCTGGGGAAAGGAATTAGAAGAGGGCCCATGGTACCTAAGCAAGGGCTGCATTTCCACTCCACTAACATCTTTACCTCTGCCCCTTGGTGCAGTACATAAACCAGGACCTATATGATGAAAGGTCATGTGCTCAAGGAGACAGATTGTGTGAAGGGAAAACATATTTTCATAAGGCTGAAAGAATATGAAGCTTGTTCTTCAATTCGGTTGAGTAAGATTAAGTTTTAACCAATTAAAGCGTGATACTAGTTTAAGAATAATTCACTCCTCCTCAGATGAATTATTTTTTGATGCTTCATTTGTTCTAAGCATCTGTTCAAACAGTTTAGCAGTAGTGTTAAATTGGAAAACACTCTACTCCCCTCCCCCTGTCCCGTTCCTAAAATACTCTCTAGCTGACAATTGTGCTTAAAGCAGAACGTATCTTCTCTCTAATGGAGAGATATGGAATACACTGTATGAAAGAAGTATTATATTTCTTCTAAAAGAAGTTGTTAATCTTATTGCAACTCATGATTCATAAAGTGGGAATTCCTGAAAGTATGCATGGAATATGAAATCTACTCGCCAAAATGCTGCTTCAGAGACCCAGTACAAGATGCAATGGTTTGTTCAGCCTGAGGCACTCTTTCCCCTTTATCTCCACCTACCAATCCTTATTCTTCAACGTTCCACTCAAATAGTGCTCTATACACTGACTCTGAGAGTTTCACTTTGTCTTTGTTTTATTTAATATTCTCAGTTCAGACTAAAGAAATTCTAATGGCTCTGTACAACTAAAACAATTGGTTCCTGTGCCTAAACACAGATTGCTCTTAATAGATTTTTCTTTAGAATATACAGGGTGGGGGCAAAAGTAGGTTTACAGTTGCTAATGTGGAAAATACAATAATTACTAAACAATAATACAAGAATGAACCATGTCGCATACTCACAACTGTAAACCTACTTCTGCCACACCCTTTATAAAGGCTGCGATGCTCATATAAACTATAATAGACTTTAGGTAGCAGGAATAATTCATCTTGCTCTCCCCTCACCTAAACTCAGCATGACGAAAAGTAGTCCCGAGTTAAATAATTTATTAATAGTGAATCTTCAGGCAAAATATAAAATATATCAAATCAAATCAAAGAATCAGCTAGAGAGAAAGAAGTTACTTAAGAGTAGTAATAAAGCTTTTTGAAAATGACTGACATGATTTAAAAATTTTACATGTTCGTGTAATATTTTGAAAGACTCTATATACTTCTCTCTTTAAACATAGAACAAATTTCCAAGAAAACAATGAGAAACTGGGGGGGAAATGAGTTACACTTAAATAAACAATTTCAAAATGTATTTTTAGCCCTGGCTGGTGTAGCTCAGTGGATTGAGCACAGGCCTGTGAAGCAAAGGGTGGCCGGTTCGATTCCTGGTCAGGGCACATGCCTGGGTTGCAGGCCAGGTCCCCAGTAGGGGACACAGGAGAGGCAACCACATGTTGATGTTTCTCTCCCTCTCTTTCTCCTTCCCATCCCCTCTGTCTAAAAATAAATAAAATATACATTTTTAAATAAAATTAAAATATTTTGGTATACCCTGTAGATCAGATTAACAAAGAGGGATGGTATCAAAACTAAAACACTCAAACAAATAACAAAAACAAAAATACATATGAACCAATTTTCATTCTGTACACTGAGACTATCTTCAACGAGTTAAAAACCTATACTATTACAAGGGCAATCCTGAACTTTTTATATTCAACTACGTAACATTATGATATACAACCTAAAATTTCTGGTTGTTACTATTTTTAATGAATAAGTCTTTATTCCATTTAATCTGATATCTCTAAAGTACACCTATAATAAGCTAACATTTAAACAGGAAACAGTTCTCATTTCAAGTGTTTAATAGTCACAGGGTAAAAGAAAAACTGTTTATTGTGCTCAGTAGACTTACCGGTAAACATATCAAACTAATGGCTTCTCAAACAACCATTCCTGCTGTATAACACAAGGTAGTTTTTCTTATAATTTCTTTAAGGAATCACTCAACCAATACTCATTAAGCAACACTGTCCCTCCTGTAAAAATCATTATTTCACTTTTAACTAATATTGTCACATCTAAGGAACTTTTAACTCATAAAGTGCCTTCAGAAAACATCAGAAAATAAGAAATGGACCATTCTAAACAAGAAATGGAACAAGAAGGAAATTAAATCTCATTCATTTTTTTCTCATCCATTTTAAGTCAATTAAGTTAAAGCGGGAAAATGACAAAGAATAGTGCTAAATAATAAAAGTTAGTCTAAAACAGGAGGCTAAGTACTGACGAATGAAAGCTAAACCAGTTTAAATAGGAAAGATGAAAGTAGAAATTAGGTTAGTGCCAAGAACTGAGCAGAAACTTCCCATGGTCAGTCACTGAGAACTCTGTTTTCACTCTACTGTTAATTCCACTTCTGAATCAAAGACAGTATTACTGAACTAAGACAAAACCGAACTATAAACCAAATACAGTTCACATCAGCCCTGTATGACACCTTTGTTCTCTTATCACTCTAACATATTAATAACTTCATATAATTTGAAAAAGACTACTGAATGACAGCCCTATAAAACTATACCTTTTCTTATGTTTTTCCTCATAAAAATGCAGTCTCAGTTATGCAAATGTGCAGTATACAATAGATACTTGAAGTTTAAGGAAAACAAACAGGGACACAAAAATTAATACACAGAAAAATTACAACATATTTATTTCCCCCATAAACAGTTTTGAAAAGAAAAAATCTTATGACAGTGTACACTGTTTTCCAAACAGTTTTTTCCCTTTGCCAGTAGATGGTGCTAATCTCCAGATGTGAGCACTATGAGCAATTGTGCTGAAGATGACCTTTAGGGTTAGGTGCATTCACAGAATCTCCTTGTTTAGCTTGCTAGAGTTTAAAGTAAATTCCAAACATCATTTTATCTCTCAAATTAAAATCAAAACAAGCAAAGATTATAATATGTTTTCAACATTAACTCCATAAAAATAGTAAAATATACTGTATCTTCAAGCAAGTATCATTCTTTTATATTTTATATTTGTCTTGGTCCATGAGAACAAAGACAACATTTGTATTTCCAGAATCCAAAACAATCTACTACATAAGCATAGACTAAAGAACTAGACACCATAGGTTTGAATCCTGGCTCCAATTCCTAGGTATCTGAGACATCTTGGGCAACCCTTCTTGCCTGAGTTACCTTATCTGTTAAATGAGAATAAAATAGTACCTACCTTACAGTGTTCTTCAAAGGTTTAAGAAAGATAATATATGTAAAGCACTTACAAAACTGGGACACAGTAAATACATCAGTGGTTGCTACTGTTGTTATTTTGGAATGACTGTTAAAACCAGAACTGTTAAAAATGCTCATCAGCAGAAGAACAAAATATAGACATAAATATACTGAATTATAGAGCAGTGAGAGGGAATGTATTATAGCTGCACACAAGAACAGAGATGAATCTTCATAACATAGTGTTCACTGAAGAAATCAAGTCCTCATAGGACTCATGATTAAATATAAAAAAAGGAATATAAAGAATTTAGCTGACATATGGTAATAGTGCAAAAAAATTAGTTATTACATTTATTATTAGACTCCTAATAGTTTCCACTGCCTCAGGTGCCCACTATTAATTTTCCCCATTGACACTATTTATAACATTTCCTTTTAAGACTAGTTACATATTCATTTAAAAATTATCAAGGTAAAAATAAACTTTAAGTATTACTAACATGCTATATGTTTCATTGATACGGTTTTTTAATCAAAAGCATAGTTGTTTGTTTTAGATATAACAAAGCAGTCTCACTGGAATTATACCATTTTTTAAAGTTTAATGAGTCAATCCTCTGAAGGATAACTGAATTTGATTTGCAAGAATCCACAGCAATTTCTACTAACATTTTTTCTTCAGTTCAAAATGAAATTCAAAATAAATTAATGTTAAATCTCATAAGGCTCCAAAAAATCCAACAGAATATGAAAAGAACAATTATATATGAATCAAAATCACTTGGACTTTGGTGTAGTCGGTCACGTTCTTGATTTTTACCCTGTTGTATATCTGTGTGAATGGGTAGGTTCACAAGATAAACTGCTTGGGGCCAAATACTTGGTGCTCTTTGATATCTGAAATGCTTCCACTAAAGATACATTAAAACAATGATAACAATAACCATCTCTGGGGTAGGATAATGGAGAAGAGGGTAGGAAAGAGACATACTTTGGGGATTGAGTTCCCTCTTTGCACATGCATTAACTTTTAAGAACATAAAATACATTTTTAAATTCCATTTACTGATAATTTATAAAACAACGTTTTAAATGTCTAATAGTTGACAACAATGGCAGCTTACCAGATTGAAGATGCTAGTAACACATTAGTGTTGTTTGCAAGAAACTTCAATGGAGGCTCTGCAAGCAGTACACAGGATAAAATTCCTCCACCAAAACAGTGGAGCATAGCAGTAAACCAACTCGAAACAGGATTCTTCCACGCCACCGCCACTGCTCCTGACATGGTAAAGTAAAAATGTGATCTGGGATAGTTGCATATTACACAAGTCCCAAGGTACCAGAGGCACTAAAGAAATAGCAACTTAATTTTGTAATTTTCAAGAATTTATCATTACTCATAGTTGTAACAATTACAATCATAAACCATATATTTTGTTCTTCAAATCAAGACTAAAAACATTTTGTCAAGCCCTGGCCAGTGTGGGTCACTTGGTTGGAGTGCCATCTCATAGACAGAAAGGTTGCAGGTTCAATTCCCAGTCAGAGCACATGCCTGGGTTGTGGGTTTGTTTGGTCCTCAGTCAGAACATGTAGGAAAAGCAACCAATCCATGTTTCTCTCACCTCGATGTTTTACTCTTTCTATCTCCCTTCCCTCTCTCTAAAATCAATAAGCGTGTCCTTGGGTAAGGATTAAAAAAAACTTCTGTTAAGACATGGGTGATTTGGGACAACTTTAAAATATTCCATTCAGCTCTTATTGCCAGTTTACTAGTAGCAGATTATTACAAACAATCTTCCCACCTACAGTTTCCTTTCATTCCCAACCCTACTGCAAGTACTCCTACTTGATATGTTAAAAATATATATTAAGAAAAATTTATAATCTTCAGTAATTTAAAAATTAAAGCTGAAAAATTGCCCTGGCTGGTGTAGCTCAGTGGTTTGAGTGCAGGCCTGTGAACCAAACAACCGCGGTCTGATGCCCACCCAGTCAGGGCACATGCCTGGGTTGCAGGCTAGTTCCCAGCAAGGGACACATGAGAGGCAACCACACGTTGATACTTCTCTCCCTCTTTCTTCTTCTCTTCCCCTCTCTCTAAAAATGAATAAATAAAACCTTTTTTAAAAAGCTGTAATAAACTAAGCTTTCAATATGACAGGCTAAAAATAGAATACAATAAACCCAAAAGCAAAAAGTTGATGAGGACAGACATTTACATCATCACCGAATGTCTCCTAAAAGATTACTAATTAATTATAAGGAAACAATAACTTTAGAGTGAAGAAGCCTTGCAAACATCAGTATAAACAAATGACATCAAGTGACTCCTGACATAATGCACTAAGAACACATTATTACATCTGTGGTATTTCTACCAAAAATGTATAACTTCAACTAATATAATCAGATACATCTAAATTGAGAGCTATTGGGGGGTGTGGGGGGACACCTGGCCTATACTTCAATGATGTCAAAGTCAAGAAACTCAACAGGCTGATGAAATGTTCCAGATTAAATGACACTAAAGAGACAACTAAATGCAATGCATATCTTACTTAGATCCTATCATAGAATATTTTTAAAGGTCTGTTTGAACAACTGATGAAATCTAAATATGAATTAGATAGTAATACTGTATCACTATTAAACTTCCTGATTTTGGTACCTGTACTGTGGTTTTTAAAATTAACATACTTAAGTAATTAGAAGTAACTGAGCAAAATTCCTCCAATTCACACTCAAGTGGTTCTCAAAAATTAATATACAAAAATAAAAACAATCAGAGAATGCTAAAGTACAATCTTCTAGTTATAAAATGAGTAAGTTCTGAGGATCTAATGTATGGCATATACAACTGTAGTCAATAACACTGTATTGTATACCTGAAAGTTTCTAAGAGAGTAGAAATTGTTTTGTGGTATCAAACTTGAAAAAAAAGGTAACTATGTGAGGTTAGGGATGTGCTAATTAACTCAATTGTGGCAATCACTTCAAAATACATATGTCTATTGAATGATCACACTGTACACTTCACATACTTTTTTAAATCAATTTTTATTTAATTATTTTTCAAGTACAGTTTTCTGTCTTTTACTCCAATCCCAGCCCACCCCCCCCAGTGCTCCCCACCTCCCTTCCATTTCCACCCCCCTTAGTTGTTGTCCATGTGTCCTTTATACCAGTTCCTGTAAATCCTTCCCCTTTTTCCTCTGAAATTCCCTCCCCTCTCCCCTCTGGTCACTGTCCCCCTATTCTGTATTTCAGTGTCATTGTTTTTATTTTGCTTGCTTATTTTGTTGTTTAGCTTCCTGTTAAAGGTGAGATCATATGGTATTTGTCTTTCAACGCCTGGCTTATTTCACTCAGCATAATGCTTTCCAGTTCCATCTATGCTGTTGCAAAGGGTAGGAGCTCCCTTCTTTCTGCTGCATAGAATTCCATTGTGTATATGTACCATAATTTTTTGATCCATTCATTTATTGACAGGCACCTAAGTTGCTTCCAGCTCTTGGCTATTGTAAATTGTGCTGCTTTGAACATTGGGGTGCATAGGTTCTTTGGGATTGGTGTTTTAGGGTTCTTAGGATATAATCCCAGCAGTGGAATTGCTGGGTCAAAAGGCAGGTCCATTTTTAGTTTTTCTGAGAAAATTCCATACTGTTTTCCATAATGGTTGTACCAGTCTGCACTCCCACCAACAGTGAACTAGGGACCCCTTTTCCCCACAATCTCTCCAACATTTGTTGTTTGTTGCTTTGTTTATGATAGCCATTCTGACTGGTGTAAAGTGGTATCTCATTGTGGTTTTAATTTGCATCTCTCTGATAGCTAGCGATATCGAGCATCTTTTTCACGTGTCTCTGGATCTTCTGTACACTTTACATACGCTTTTGCCAATTACACCTCAGTTGAGCCGGTGGAAAGTAAATAAATGGGGCTAACTGTAAGTACACTGACCCCTGATTTAAATTGCTTGGGTTCACTCATACATGGATTTTCAGTAAATATACTGGAAGTCTAGTGTATCTCTCAATAAATATACTGGAATTTTTTTAAATATTTCCAACAATTTGAAAAAACTTGCATACAAACCACAAAGCCTAGAAATATTAAAAAAATTAGAAGTTATGTATGTCATGAATTCATGCAATATTATACATATACAAAATATGTGTTAATCCACTATTTATGTTGTCAGTAAAGCTTCTAATCAACAGTAGGCTATCAGTAGTTAATTTGAGTCAGGGAGTTACAAGATACACCGATTTTCACGTGGGAGGGATGTCCACATCCCTAACCCCCACTTTGTTCAAGTGTCAACCGCAGCTGGTAAATGTGGGTAGAGTATATGGAAGTACCTTGACCTATCCTGGCAACTTTTTTGTAAGTTTGAAATCATCACAGGAAAAAGTACAAAATAATAAAAAACAAACTAAACAAACAAATGATTTATAAAAATAAAAGTGCAGATTAACTATATAGAGGCTAAAATGAACAGATAAGGATGGGAAATAAATAAAAACAACCAAAATTGTCATTGAAAAAGACCAATAAAGCAGATCATTGTACTACAATGCATAACATTAAAAAAATAATATTAGTTTTTTAATTAAAGAAAAACAATATGTATTTAATCTAACAAAGGTGAAAATATATTGGAAATGGGCAATTTTCTAAGAAACTATAAATTAGCAAAAACCTGAACATACAAATTAACTACGGGAAAAAACTACAGAGCAGTCAAAGACCAATCTAAAGAAAACTGCTACACTTAAATAAATTAATTGGAAATAACTAGAAAACATTTACCAAGTAGTTTTGGATTATTCATTTTTATACCACATAACCATTATAGAGTTTAGCAAAGGAGAAAAGCTTTCTTAAGCTTTGGATTTTATCATTATCATTGGATAATGATAAAAACAACATTATCCAATATCAAAAATTATAAAGGAAAAAAAGAAAATGAGAGAAAGGAAAGGAAAAGGCAGAAACAGAGAGGAAGTTAGAAAGACATATTCTATAATTCTAACTTATGAGTATAATGCACAAATACATTACCAAAAAATTGGTGTTAGTAGTTTTTGAAGGAGAATAAATCATCACCATGTAGATTTTATCCAAAGAATTTAATGAAGGTTCAATGTTCAGAAATTCATTAAAATCATTCACTATATTAACAAGTTATTATGTCAGACAGTAAAAGGTCATCCCCCCAAATCAACATTCCTAATTTAAAAAATAATAAACTACTAATTTAAGAAAAGTATTTAACCTGAATAAAGCCAAGGAAAAGATTTAGAAATATGACTTCATCAAAATTTAAATTTTCTATATAAGAAAGGAGGATAAAATGTTTTTCAACCTACTTCAGGCAAATTCCAACAAATCAATAGAAAAAGAAAACAGAATAGAAAAATGGGCAAGTCACAAAGCAATGACTTGCAAAAACATGAATGACAACTAAAATACCAATAAAAAGCATCCTCAACTCATTCATAATCAAGGGAAAACAAACTAGGACAAGATATTATTTCACACACACCCATTAGGCAAAAGAAATTATAGCTTAATATTAATAAATTGGCAAAGTTGTGAAGAAATTCATATACCCTTGTGAGAGTATAAACAAGTAAAGGCATTCTGAAGAACAATTTGGAAGTACCAATTAAATTTTTATTCAACTGCACTTTACTTTCAATATTATTTTGTATTGGTTTCAGGTGTATAGCATACTGATTGGACAATCATATACTTTACAAAATGTTCCGCCCAATATTATCACCAGACATAGTTATTGCAATATTACTGACTATATTCTCTATGCTGTCTTTGACATCCCCGTGCCTATTTTTCAACTGCCAATTTTTACTTCTTAATCCCTTCACTTCTTTCACCCAGTCCCCTAACACCTCTGCCCTCTGGCAACCACCAACCTGCTCTCTATGTCTGAGTCTGTTTCCATTTTATTTGCCCATTTATTTTGTTCTTTCAATACCACATGTAAGTGAAATCATGTGATATTTATCTTTCTCACGATGGCTTATTTTACTTAGCATAATACCATCTAGGTCCACCCATGCTATCAAAAATGGTAAGATTTCATTGTTTTATGGCCAAGTAATATTCCATTTTATTTATGTCCCATCACTTTTTTGTCCACTCATCTGTTGACCTGGATTCATTCCACATCATGGCTTTTGTAAATAATGCTGCAGTGAACGCAGAGGTATATATGGTCTTTTAATTTTTTAATGAACCTACATACTATT